TCATTACCACCAGGTGGGGGTGGAAGCCCAGGCTCCCAACTCAGTCTTCACTGGAGTAGATGGGGTGGGGCCACAGATTTGTTTTTTGGTGTTTGGCTGGAGTAGAGTGGTTACTATCTAAAAGTTTTCTGTCCTGCTAGGCTTCTCCTTTCCTAGTCTATTGACTAGAGAGAGCAGGATTTTGTTGGGGCTGTATTTGTTTGGGCTTGTTGGCGTTTGAGTTGCTGGCTTCTTCAATTCCAAGTCTGTGACATATGAGGCAAGAGGAAAAACCAGGGAATTTACCATGTTAATCCTTAGGTCTTGAGGTGCTAGCCAGTCTTCCTTTTTCTGTCCTCCTTTCAGAGTCTTCTTATGTTTATTTTATAAATAATGTCCAGAAATTTTAGTTGGGAGGAACAAGGAAGAATATGTCTACTCCAGCTTCTTGGAAGCAGAATTCCTTGCTCTCTGGCTTTAACAGTCACACACTCCCTTTATAACTACTTGGTCTATTTATATAATCATAGAAGTTGGAAACAAGCTTAAACTGACTGGCTTCATTATAAGAAATGCTGTAAAAGAATATGAAGCTTTGTGCCCAAGACCCTCATTTAAAGAAATGCTGAGCTATCTGAACATAGCCACAGGCAGAATACTCCCAGTATCAAAGTGGCTTGTCAGATATAATTTTATTAGCATTTCTCTTCTCTGAAGACCATCTCTAAAGGATAAAGAAGAACTTTCTGGAGGATTCAAAATACATAATATCTCACCTTCGCTGTCACAGCATTCTAGGATTGAAGGGTCTTCCCGAATCACTGCAGTCAGAGCATTGACATCTCCATTAGATGCTGCCTGATAAACCATGGTCAGGTCAACTTCCTCAGATGAGTCACCTTCATGAATCAAACAGAGACACACTGATAGGGTGTGTGGAGTGAGTTCACTGAAAGAATAACAACATCCAACCACCATCCACACAAGTGATTCATTAAAACCTCTTGGGTGAATCCTAGTCACCTGCATCCTCACCACTTCTGAAGAAAAGTGGACCTCTGTGGCCCATGTAAAACCACTTTTATAGGGAAGGAGGCTGAAGGGATTAGATGTACTCTAAGATTTTGTGATTCTCTCCAGCATCCAGGCTACTCAAAATCAGTGACAACAGAGCAGAAAGTGGGGCTGTCATCGTGGTCTGGGTTTTCCTTTATGATGAGAAACATGTTACTTTTCCTTTCAATGACTCATTTTCCACCTTTGAAAGAGACATTGTACTCTGTATTCTCTGTCCTTCAGATGAACTTTCTGCCCTTCTTTACCCTGCTGTGTGTTCTAGGGTCTGATCTTTGCTGACTGAGTCATTTGAGTTCCCTTGTCTTCTGGCTTGCCAATGGGAGGCATCAGCGGAAGATTGGTGGGGACAGGAGAAATTAGTGTCTAGCAGTAGCTACCTCTCTTCTTCAAGGAGGCTTCGCCTTCCTAAAACCAGCTCTAACTGGGTTCTGTCTGATAACATGGTTCCTTCCTATGCTCCTGCAGCCATAAGGGTGGTAACAGCTTCCCACCGATGTTAGTCTGTGGTGCCTCAATATCCCTCATTTGTTCCTTTAACCCTGCCTCCTCTCTGAATGTAGTCACCTCACAAAATCTTCTTCATTTGGATCATCTGGGGTTTAATAACAGGGTTTCTAGAAGAAGCAGAGTTGTATGCGACCTCTTTGAAGTTGGTTGTCATTTGTATTGTACTTTTGTGTACAATTGAACCAACCAATAGTGCCGCCAAAGGTGACATCAGAGCTGTGAGCCTAGTGACCCCAGCGCAGCACTGGCAGGACTGGGAGGCAAGTTATGCTCATGGGGAAGCCCTGGTGAGAAGTTGTGTCCAGACCCTCTACTTTTACAATTTCTCCCACACGTGTTTTTTCTCTAAGCTTAG